TTGTGAGTTCAAGCTCCATGTTGGGCGTGGAGACTACTTAAAAAAATTAAAAATTAAATAAACGAAAGTGTTAATGTCATGAAAGAAAAGGAAAGACTTAGCAGTTGTTACAGACCAGAGGAGACCCAGGAGACCTAACAGTTAAATGCAGTGTGAGGCCCTGGATGGAAGTCGGGAACATTGAAGAGATAAATAGTGGAAAACATGGCAAAATTCTAGAAAAGACTGTAGTTAATAGACTTGTACCAATATCACTTTTGTGGTTTTGATAATTAGGCTGTGGTTTAATTACACATGGTGTTATCGTTAGGGGAAGCTGGGTAAAGAGTATGAGGAAGTCTCTGTACTATTCTAGCAAAGACTTTTCTCTAAATCTAAATCACTTGAAATTATCTCAAAATAAAGCTAAAAGCATAAAGTGACTCCCACACACCCTTCCTGCATTATCCCCAGTCCCATCCCTCCCTTGACATCCTTTATAGCCACTCACGTAAAATCACCTTGTTTGCTACTTCCCCACGCACTGCAGATTCCTTCGGGGTAGAGGAGGGCCCCTCTGTGTCCCCAGCTCTGGTTTCCCCAGTGCCTCCATAGTGACCTGCATACAGTAAGTACTGCTTTCAAATGTGTAGGAGCAAATGAATTAATTCTCCTGGATGTCACCAGGAAAAATGACTGGGGAAGATTGAGGGTTTATAGAAAGCATCCTGAGCATGTATAGCCAGGAGTCTTTTCCCATATGCTCAAAGATGAAGTTATGGGACTGCCTCCCCCAACCCCCCCCCCACCAATTAGGAATCCTCACCCCAGATGTTGCAGATGGAGGAAATAATTGACTACCCAGAAATCTTGCCCCAGGCATCAGTGGTTCCCCCAGAGCCACTCCAGGGAGAGGATTCCTGACAGGACATAGCTCTGATGGCCAGGATCCAGAACATAGGCCAGGAGGGGAGCACCCACTCCTCCTTCAGCCTAGCCAGATCTGCCAGGGACTGGGAAATGAACTTCCCAAACCTATAAGCAGTAGCAAAAAAAAAAAAAAAAAAAAAAAAAAATTCCTGGGAAAACCCAAGAAGTCACATTGTGCAGACCTTGGCCTTTCCCATAAATTCCCTCTGCAGACCATCAACATTGGCAGGGGGTGGGAGGCAGCAACAGGCCACTTCCAGCTGGATTTTTATGCCGTCCTTTCAACATCAGATGGTGAAGGTCCAGCCTGATGTAGTGGAGCAGCCCAGATGGGAGTCTGGATCCCTGGGTTCCATCTCTGTGTGTGTATAAAAGTGGAAGGAGACTGTGTGTGGTGACCTCTGTCCTTAGAGCTCTGATGTTCTGGACTGTTCAGCACTTTCATAAAGGGTTAGTTTCTATTTTGTGCCTGAGCCAGAACAGCCTCAGTGGTGGTTCTGAGGGGCTGCCTTTCTGAGCCTGGGCATCTTTGGGAGATTCCAGACCTTGGGGAAGTGGAGGCTCGGCATGAAGGTGGGAAAGAAGGAAATGCTCCTGGGTGATATGTTAGAAGCATTTGCTGGACCAGAACCAAGTACCTACTCTAGTAGCAAACATAGCCTTTTGCAGTTTCAATGGACCCTGTATCAAATGGTCATTTTGCAAATGTGGATACGAGGCCCAGAGGATCAGATGCCTTGACAAAGGTCAGGCAAATAAAAAGGAAACCACCCAAATGCCTTTCAGTTGAATTAATATTTTTTTAAAAGATTTTATTTATTTATCTGACAGATGGAGATCACAAGCAGGCAGAGAGGCAGGCAGAGAGAGAGGGAAGCAGGCTTCCTGCCGAGCAGAGAGCCCCATGTGGGGCTTGATCCCAGGACCCTGGGATCATGACCCAAGCCAAAGGCAGAGGCTTTAGCCCACTGAGCCACCCAGGCGCCCCTAATATATTTTTATGTTACATAACCTTTCATTCCATACTCTTATTTAGAAAAAGAAAATTGAAAGTCTCCTTCTCCTTCCCCTGGGCTCCTGAGATTCACACATGAAGGTTCTACTGGTGCTGGCAGGAGGTTATCACTTTGATAGAGGGATGAAGTGAGGAAATTGGAGGCCTGCACTCCTCCTCGACTCCTGTTCCTATGGAATGGCCATCAGTCCTACCTACCTGATAATGCCTGCCCCTCCCAAAGCCCTTTTAGGCCCCTCTGTGGAAAGACTCCTAGTATCTCCAGTTCACAGATGAGAAGATTGAGGCCGGGGAAAATATCTGGTCACTGATAGGCTCAGGTCTGGGATCAGAAGCCTGAGCTACAGGCCAGAGCACCTATACTTCTCAGTGCTGTGTTAGTGGCAAAAGCAGGGGCAGGTGGCCCAGGAGCTACTGTAGGGGCAAATCCAGATCCTAACAGCTGCTATTCCTCAACACCAGCTTTTGAGAAATACTATTTCTGGGGCGCCTGGGTGGCTCAGTTGGCTAAGTCAGTTAAGACTCTTGACTTCAGCTCAGGTCATGATCTCGGGGTTGAGAGATCCAGCATGGAGCCTGCATGCAACTCCCACTCCCTCTGCCCCTTCACCTCCTAAAAGAAAAGAAAAGAAAACTTTTCTAATACACAGAAGCAACTGCTGGAAAGCTATACTTCTACAGGTTCCAGCATAGAGAGAGGGGCCACTCCCCTTTGGCCAATTATAGTCATGTCTAGTATAATGCTCTATCCCAGGAAGTTTTAACAGTTTCTGATGAAAAGCATCACTTTCCTCACAACTTCCTGGCTTCTGGTGCTTGCCTGGAACAGCCAGGGGGGCAGTTTCCTGTGCTGAGCTACTGGGTGGTTCATGGACTTCACAAACACACAGGGTGGAAGCTTGGAACCGGGTTCAGTTCAGGTGCACAAGGCTCCCCTGACCCTACACATATGGACCCCCAAGTCAGCAAGGGAGGGAGGCCCCAGAGCGTGGTCCCCCAATGGAGCTGGCAGGTTTGTGGGTTGTCCCCTTGGCCCCAAGACCCGACAGGAAATCAGCCGCAGGCCTGCGGACCGAGATCGCCTGTGGCCCCACCCGTGCGCCAGCCCCACGGTCTTGGGAGCAGATATGTGTTCACGGATCCAGGTTCGAGGCTCTGCAAGGAGTCCAGTGAAGGGCGGCATGGAGCCCCCTTACTTCCTGCTCTGGGCCATACCCTGTCACAGCCAGCAGCCTCGACCTGGGGCGTCCTGCACATCCAGGATTCTTATATGGCCACGGAGCAGAGGTGGTCTGTGCGGCCCCTGAATCCACAGAAATTGTCCCCAAAGCTGTGCATGTGGGAGTGTCCGTAGGGAGGAGAGGACATGTGTGGCAGTATTCGTGGCCCACATCCCCGGATGTGGGACCAGAGCCCTGCAGTCCTCGCTCTCCGCGTGTGTGGGAGCACATGGGTCCTTCCCAGGGTCACCGCCCCCGAAGCAGCCTGGCTCCTGGCTGCGCATGTGCCGCGTGTTCGCCAACCTGGCGGAGCCTGGCCGTTGTCTTTCTTCGCCACTGTGGTCTCGGGTGGAAGAGCCCACCTTGTCCCGTCACCGTGTGTGTCCACCGGCCCCGCCCAGCCCAGCTGTTGGCCTGTCCCTCGCTGGACCCGGTCCCTACCGCAAGGACAGGAAGCGTTCCCCACATCCACCTCCGCCCCAGCCTGGTGACTTGTGGTCACAGACACCAGAAGCCAGAGAGAGAGTTTTTAAAAAGACTCACAGACGTGTCATTAGAATCTGTGTTGGGTTTGGGGGAAGGTGCTGGGTGGCTCCCGCCCCTGCTTTCCGGAAACACAGATTTGTGGCGTCTGACAGTGACAGGAGGCTAAAGTGGGATGGTACTAAATATACTGTCCTGGGCGCTTCCGGGCAGCGGGGGGTGTGGGATTGACTCGCCACCCCAGCCTCCGGCCCAGACAGACCAGCCCCGCCTCGGCTCCCCTCCAGCCTGTGCATCCCCTTCCCCTCCGCGCCTGTCTTCCACCCCCGCTTCAAACCACCTCGCCCCCCTGCTGCCCAGAACCCTAAACCCCGCTGGCCAGATGCACAGCCGGTGCTCCCAGGCCGGGATTCCAGCCCTCCAGAGTCAGACCACAGCGAGACTCAGGGCCGGTCCCCCACAGCGCTGGCCTGTGGACACCCCCACCCTGCACACCTGTGCCTCCAAGGTCCCCTCTGCCTACAAGGGCTTCCCTGCCACCTTCTCCACCCCACAGGACTCCGTCCCATCCTTCAGGGCCAGTTCAGGTGGCACCTCTCCTGGGAAGCCTGCTCAGGTCCCACCCATCATGGGACCGTCCAGCTTCCCCAGGACCTGACCAGGTGTCACCAGGTGCTGTCACTCCTACTTTGCTTCTTCTTTCCAGGTCTCCCTCTGACCCTCCTTCTTCCCTCACCTTGTCACCAAACAGGAACTGCCATCCTTTGTCCTTTGCTGATTGTGGCTGTTGTTTTCCCTGCCTGTGCTATCTATTCCTCAGCCCTAGGCCTTTCTTCAGGCTGGGCCCTTCCTCTGCAGTGTCCTCCCTTGACATTGGGGCACATCCACTCTCAGCCCTTGAGGCCCAGCTCCAGGGTCAGCTGCAAACACTCCCTCTCCCCGAGGCTTCCATGCATACACATCGGCAGATTCTGCACATCCCCGGCCTCAAAAATGCACTCAGTTCTGTCCCGGTCCACTCTGTGACCTGTTTCTGCCTTGGGTCTGATGTCAGTCTTCCCAGAGGAGGGACCTGCCCTCAGATTCATCCGTGGGTCCCAGAGCCAGCAGGGGATGGGTGGGGCAGGCTGGGTTGGGGTTTGGGGGCCAGAAATGGAGGCAGCTCTTGCTGGCACCACGGTGTGCTGGCCCCTGTGCCAGACACCTCAGCGCATGGCCCGCCATGCCCTCTCAGCACCAGGAGGCAGAGCTTGGGAGCAAGTCCCCTTGCAGAGGAGGGAGCCGTCCCCACCCAGGCTGCCCGGGGCCCCATCTCCCCCAGCCCCAGCTCTGTCCAGAGCACAAGTGACCGACTGCCCCACTCTGTCTCACAGTGGAGCGTGACCGCACCCTGGGCTACCAGGAGCCCCACTGGAAGGAGTTCCGCTTCGACCTGACCCAGATCCCAGAGGGCGAGGCGGTCACCGCCGCCGAGTTCCGGATTTACAAGCTGGCCAGCGCCCACCTGCTCAACAGGACCCTGCACGTCAGCGTGTTCCAGGTGGTCAGGGAGCAGTCCAACAGGTGCCTACCCTCATGCCACCTCCTGCCGAAGCCTCGCCGAGGAGGGGACACTTCCCAGAGGACAGAAGGGGAGCTCCCTGGGGAGTACACCCTCAGAGGCAGAAGGATATTTGGCCAAGGCCTCGTGTCACTGTGGGGAGAGGCCCAGCATAGGTCCTGCTTCACATCCCTGCCATGCTCTCCCGGCTGTGGGACCATGGGCAGGTCACTGAGCTCCCGAGCCTCGGTTTCCACGCCCCTGCTGGGCCCAGTAGCATTTTGTGCTGTACATACAGTGAGAGAAGACACACGGGGCGCCCACCCTGAGCCAGGCGGGATAGGTGCCCCACGCATGGCCCCCCAGGTGGGCACTGGAAACGCAAAGGCAGCTGTGCCGGCCCTCAGCTAATTGTTTTTTCATGTCCACAGGGAGTCTGACTTGTTGTTTTTGGATCTTCAGACGCTCCGAGCTGGGGACGAGGGCTGGCTGGTGCTGGACGTGACAGCAGCCAGTGACCGCTGGTTGTTGAGCCGGAACAAGGACCTGGCGCTCCGCCTCTATGTGGAAACGGATGGCGGTAAGGCTCAGGGTTGGGCAGCAGACCTTCTCCTGGGGGCTCTTCGAGGCTGTTGGCACAGAGCCAGCTGCGACCACCTCCTTTGGCCCTGGAGGCCTGGCCTCTCTCAGCCCAGCAGCTGGGGTGATAACCCCCTAACCACTTTGGGGGCTCATTGGGGTGCAGAAACCAAGGTTCCCACAGCGGGAGCCCCCTACCATGGTGGTCTCCCTCCTCTCCTTTTGCAGAACCAACATTTCAGTCACTAAGAGAGAGTCCATGTTGTCCCTCCCCAAGAGCAGCCGTGTATGTGGGGCGTGTCCATACTGGGCAGGGCCGAAGCGAGGTAGTTACACCCTCAGACTCGGAGCAGAGAGGCCTGGGTTTGAATCCCAGCTCTTCAGCACTCTAACCCGGTGACCTTGCCAGGGTACTTACCTTCGGGGTCTCAGTGTCCTCCTCTGTAGAATGAGGGTTCACATGTTCATTCATTCTCCAGGCAGCTGGGGGAGAACCTCCTTCATCGCAGGCAGAGGAGTGGGGGAGGGAGAGGCAGAAAGTGGGCACAGGATGGTGGATCTGAGCTACAGCAAGGGGCCGCCATGGCTGGAGCTGGGCGGGCAGGGGCGAGGTGGGAGAGGAGACTGAGAGCTGCAGGGCACATCCTGAGTGTGGGTGAACCCGGGCCCCGTGTCAGAGGGTTGAGGGTGGCTCCCTGTATTTCATAGCAATGGAGGATGATGGGATCTGAGTCAGGTTTTTAGAAAAGAGCCCTCTGAGACAGCCCCTGGAGGAGGGCATCACTTACCCCGGTGCTTAGTGAATTAGGCTTCCCATAAGTACAGTGGGGACAGGGCGAGGAAAATGAGTTCACAGAGGAGAAAGCTGAGGGCACTATCTCAGCGGGCGACCAAGGCTCATACGAGTGTCCTGCATCTGCTGTGTCCCCTTGACATGACAGGATGAGAAGGGCCCTTCATCTCGTGGTCATCCCCCAGAACACAGAACCCCACCTGACCGTGGGAAAAACATCAGACAAACCCAAATTGAAGGACCTGCTACAGATGCCTGACGAGTGCTTCTCAAAACTGTCCCGGTCGTCAAACACAAACAAAGTCTGAGAGATTGTAACAGCCCAGGGAGCCTAAGCAGTTGTAGCAATGGAATGCCGTGTGGGATCCGGGATGGGACCCTGGAGGAGAGAAAGGACACTGGGGAAGACCAGTGAGGTCCGAATACATCGTGTTTAGTTTATCCTCAGACTTAGTGTTGGTCGTTTAGTTGAGACAAGTGCACGGTGCTAATGTCAATGTTGGCATTTCCCGGGGAAACGGGCCTGAGTATCTGGGAACTGTCTGTACTGTCCTTGCGTTTTTTCTGTAAATGTCAGCTGTTGTAAAATAAAAACTTAGTATGTGTGTCCAACAAAGGCCCTGCATCCTATGTCTGCAGGGACCGTAGTCTGGGGGGGGCGGGGACAAGAGCAAAGTCAGAGCAACAGGAGCCACGAGCTGCAGGGGAGAGCGGAGACGTGCTTGTTGGTTGGTAGCAGCAGAAGTGGAGAAGAGAGGATAGAGGAGGAATGATGGAAAACGTGGATTGAGCCAGTGGCCATTTTTAATAGAATCTTTATATTTTCCTGCCTGAGTTAAAGTAGTAGACGGGCAGGCTTGAGGGAGCAAACCAGGAGGCCTTTTTCGGCAGTGATGTTATTGAGAGCCCTGGTTGACGTCCAGATGGAGTGTCAGCTAGGACAGGTGAGAGCTGGGGCACAGGTGGAAAGCGCCCACATCTAAGTGGCTTGAGAGGCCTGGGACCGGAGCAGGTCTCCTGGGCAGAGGTGTGGATGGAGAAGGAAGGGGATGGTCCAGAACCCTGGGGCCTCCCACATGGAGAGGGCTGCCCAGAAGGGGTGATGTGGAGGATCTTTCCTTCCCATGGGGGTTCTGGGGTAGAGAAGGCGGCCTTCTGGCCAACCTGAGGGCTCAGGGTCGGTCTTCCCCTCACAGACACCACCCCGGGACCTCTGCAGGCATGGCTCCCTCCCCATCAGGCGCAGGGTCTTGGATTTAGGTCCCACGGGGTGGGAGGCACGATGCTTCCCAGGACGTCAGGTGTCACCTTGTCCCCGCGTCATCACCCCGTGTGCCCTCCCTGTTCTCTGATGTGGCAGCTGTGGCAGTCAGTCAGTCCCCACCAGGTCTGGAGCCGGAGGCAGAGCACAGGATGGCGGCCCTCCAGCAGTTCTCCAGATTGTACACGGACCCCTTGCAGCTCGGGAAAGACATCTCTGACAGCACCAAGCTCAGAGTCATGGCTTTGGGCTCTGCAGGATTCCAGAGAACCTGATAAAGGCGCTGCTCAAGACACACGTCAAGGAAGTAGCAACGTGGGGGTGGACGACTTTGGGCTGGGCGTTCTCTTGGAGACCAAGCAGGTCCCCCATATCATTGGCTCCGATGCAGGGGAGAATTTGCTGTGCGAGCACCCAGTACCTGTCCCGCTGAGGCTGGAGCTACCTTCCCAGGGCTCCCTGAGGGAGTGCATCCGTAAGGGGGGTGCGGGAGGCGGGGCCCTGTTCTACAGGCCCACAGCCTACAGGACCTTGGTGCAGGAGGGAGGCGCCCCCATCAGGTTCTCGCAGGAGGCCACATGGCCCTCAAGAGCCAGTGCGGAGAGGTGAGGGACTTTCTCAGGGATCTCCGTCTTCTGGAGCTGCCATCTCGGCCACGTTTGCTTTGGTGAAAGGGTGGAAGGCCCACCGCGGAGGAAACGTTATCTTCAGAAGAAGCGCCAGGAGGTCCAGCGTGCCCACGAGCAAAGCTGCAGAAACCTCTGTGGTGGGGGCAGACGAGGCTGTGGGTGTGGGCACGTCTGCCCCCGAAGACGTCCAGGTTCCTAACACTGATGCGACCGTCATCTGGAGGGAAAAATACGAGAAATGAATTGAGCATCTCATGGTGCAGACAGAGGAAGGTGAAAAAGCCAAGTGTGTGGGTGACCCCCGGGCCCGGATCATCACACGAGCAGCTCTTGAACACGAGGATGGCATGTGCGCCACCTGGGGCGTAAGAATCACGCTCCTGCCCAGCAACTACATCAGCCCGGAGGTAACTGTTCATCCTCACCGTGAAAATGGGATCCTGGGCTTGGGTCCGTTTCCATTAAAAGAGGAGGCAGATGCAGATCTCATCACTGTGGGTGAGCAGATGGTCACCATTTCCCCTGGGGGCTGTTTTTTCTCCTGCGAAGACTCGTCTGCAGTAATTCAAGGGGACACCTCCACCTCACTGTGCTGGGAGCCGTGCAGGTTTCCTGTCCGGTCACAGGCTAACCGGGCCACCCCTGGAAAGACGGGGAGCGGCCCGGAGGGAGCCATGGATTTGGTGTCCAGCGCCAAGGCCAGAATGGTGGTCACCATGCAACGCCACACCAAGGACAAGGAGCCCCACGTCTTGGAGAAATGCACCGTGCCACTGACTAGGGCGCTGTGCGGACCGAATCAGCCCCAAGAAGGCCGTATTTGACGTGCACGGGAAGAAAGGCCCCACGTGGATTGAGGTCTGGGATGGCCTAATGGTGGACGATGTCAAAAAGAGCTCGGGCAGCCCTTTGCCCTGTCCCCAAACCTCAGACCCACGCAGCAGGTGGCAGCCTGAGCCGGGAAGGAAGCCCCGGTCACAGAGGGTGGGTTTTAGTGGAAACCAGAGGAGGTCTGGTCACCTCTGTCCATGGCGCTGGCTGTCTGGCGCTCACCGCCAGACAGACGATTCTGCCAAGAGGGATATGGCTTTAATTAAAAACCAAAGAAGAATGGAGCCCTTTGTCTTCTTTGTTCTGTGCTTCCCAGAATGGTCTGGTACCATCGTCGGGCGCTTTGAACGCCGTCCTCACTGTGCTGTTTACATGACATTGTGTGCAGCTCCAATGAGCCCACGGGACGGCTTTCACGGAAGGGCCTCCCCTTGTGAATGAGTCAGGAAATGTGGGGGGATGGTGAGGAAGGCATGACCACCCCCATACCCCCAAGGCCCCACTTTGCCAGCACCGTACGCCCCGTGACCTGGGGGATGCTGTCCGGGTGAGCTTGTCTTCCTGCGGCCCCTCTGACTTTTCCTCTGGAGACTTCCGTCCTCTGGCTAAATTCTGTGTCCCTGTAGCCTCCCCTCTTCCTCCCTGCATGTCCTCCTCCTCGTGGCTAAATAGATGTGTCTGGAAGGACAGCAAGGCTGTCTTGCTGGGCCAGAGCACTGGCAACGCAGTGACAAGGTTCCCCTGTCGATCATCCGTCCCCCCGTGTGCTGTCGAAGGCTGCGGCTTGTGGTAGGAGGGGTTCTAGAAACCTAAGACGGACTTCTGTGTTTTCTCATCCTCAGGCATGGGATTCCTATGTCGCCCAGGACACTCAGACCCTTTCTGCCTGTTGTGGAGCCCTAGACTGGCCTGTTGTCACTACTCCCTTATAACACAAGAGAGGCCGTGGGGTGTTTCCTCCTGAACATAACGGGTTCATACACATGCCTGTGCAGCCATGTGCACGTCCAGATGTGTACGTGTGTGTGAGGTAAAAAACCTGACACAGAGCACGATGCACGTTCTCAGTGTGGCTCTCGTGGGCATACAACCATCAGAGCAGGTGGGCGAGAACTGGAGATTCTAGCTGGTGAAGGAAGGCCTTTCAGGGAGGCCTCCTTGGAGCCTCGCCCCGAAGGAAGGGCCAGTTCCTGGAATGGAGGGATGGGGACACCGCTCCCGAGGGGCAGCCTGGGGGCTGGGGGGTTAGTGGCCAGGGACTGGGTTGGATGTGGCATGGAAGGGCAACAAGTGGATGGATAGTGGGGCACCTTTTGGGGCTTCTGTGGGGGCACCTGATCGGCGCTGGGCGTCAGTTTTCCAGCAGCAGTGTGGACAGGCAGAGCTCCCCAGGAGCAGACAGTGAGACGGGTGAAGATGGTAGGAAGAAGGAGGAGGGTTGAGTTCCTCGTTCTCCCGTGATGAAGTAAGCAGAGGACAAAAGCAGACTGGATCCATAGCTGGGATTCTCCGAGGGTTCAGACAGGCACCCCGGTTGTCCTTCAGCCTGGCACAGGGTCACCTCCCTGACCACAGGCTGAAGTGGGACCGGGTCTGTGGGAAAGAGCCAGATGGCGCCCAGAGCAGGAGGCCCGGGGGAGAGGCGGGAGTGATCTGGGCCTGGCACAGTTTAGGGGGGTGTGAATGAGGCCTTGAGCACCTGCCCGGGACAGGATGGGGCAGGCGAGCTGGCAAGACCTCTGGGCGCTGATGGAGCAGACTGAGAAGTGGGGAGAGGCTGGAGGACTCATGGGTGCCCCCGGCCCAAAGAAGCAGCATGTTCCATCAGGACGAATGCGAAAGGCCACAATGTGGCCCACACTTTCAAGCATGGCTGCACACACCTGTCAAGTGCAAAGGGGCCTGCCAGCACCCTCACAAGGTCAGGTATAGAGGCGGGGACCCTGGGCCCCAGAGGCTCCCACCTCTGCCTTTCTAGAAGGCAGCCTTCCAGTGCCGGGCAGCCTAGGGCATCACCAGCTAGATAGCTCAGGCCTTCCCTGCAGCCCATTTTCTGCCCCCGGGAAACCCCAAGAAGATCCTTGATCAGACGGGCACACAAGGAAAGTGAATAGTGAACACAGCCTCAGACGAGATTGCTCTCCCTGGCTCCTCGGTAGGCAGTTCTCTCCAGGGAACAGGGACAGGACAGCGGCACCCGCAGGGGTGGAGTGCTGCCCAACGCAGGGTCATGGAGTCCCACTCCAGTGCCATGCTGACGACAGTCACCCTCCTGCTCTCATCCACTCTGGGCTCCTCGTGGCCTCTGGCATTGCCCCTCTGCTCAGAAGCCTAGTATGTGTCTCGTGGCTCCATGTCCTTGTGGTTTTGTTGCTTCCTCGTGGCTGACTTGCTGTGACCCAAACTCTTCCAAATGGCTTGTCTCTGGGCTCCTTCCAGGGTCAGCTCCTGCTGCTGATGACCTCCTGTCCAGCAGGATTGTTCCCAAGTGAGCCTCTAATGGGTCCAGGGCATTTGTGTGTGGCAGGTGATGTCATAGGTCAGAGTTCAGTCTCGGGATTGATTCGTTGTTCAGTCAACTTGGCCCAAGGACATGGGCCTACAGCACAGCTATTGAAGGGCTGACCTTTACCAGCTGAGCAGGACTGTGGGTGGGAAAGGCAGTGCCCTTGACCTGTGGTGTATCCCAGTGACTCATATAGACCCACTAATGGAGCAAACATAGGTATTTGTACATGTGGACGTCTGTGTACTGTATGATGATAAACGCATGTGTTTCTATACATATGTGTGTGTGTGTCAGGGTGGCCACATCGAGGGGACAGGGACACGGAAGGGGAACAGTTGGCTCTGCATGTTATGAAGCATAAAACTGAGTTAATGATCCTCTCCTGTTGTTTAAGAAAATTCCAAAGGGAGAGAAAATGAAGGGATCTGTGGCACTCTCGTCTTCACAGTGGAAGCCAGGAAATAACTGACGTGTTTAAAGTGAAGCTAATATCTAAATATTATGGTGTATTTTCTCAAAGGATTTTATACATTTGAAATGCTCATTGTGGAGACATTTAAACAGCAGTGAACGTGTTTCTGTGAAAAAGTTGAAAAAAATACAGACACTCATGGTCACCATTGTGTAAAACTTCAGTTGACATGGAAATATTCCAGAAATATGAAAATGCTGTGTTGTAGTGTGGAGAGATCTTTTTTTCCTCAAAGGTTACTTTACAATTGCTATTGTATTACTTTGACAATTAAAAAATCAGGAGGCAGGGAGCCTAGTGGCTCAGTCAGTTGAGCAGCCTGGCTAACTCTTGGTTTTGGTCAGGTCATGATCTCAAGGTCATGGGATCAAGCCCTGCCCGGGTCTCTATGCTCAGCCGGGAGTCAGCTTGAAATTCTTTCTCCCTTGTCCTCTGCCCCTCCCCAACCAAAATAAATAAATAAATCTTTAAAAAATCAGGAGGTCCTTTGGAAATACAAAGAGGTACAAGAAGTTAGTTTTATTGGTAGAGTCAACATTTCCAAGGATCATGTCTGTGTTTCTTAAGGCAATCTCATCTTTAAGCAGCTTTGGAGCCAAATCCCATTTTCACGGGCATCCCTCTTCCTAGCCAGAGGCCCCCGTATTTCGCTGCCCACAGTCTTTTCTCTCTTTTTTGACCCACAAACCTGGGGTTATCTCCTTAAGTGAATAAGATCTTGGGGTCTGGAATTAGACGTGGGCTGAACCCCCAGCTCTGGGACTTTGGCTTGATGTCACTGCCCTGCTGCCCCCGGTGTCCTATTTGTGGGCATCAGGGGACACTTAAGGCCCTGCTCTTGGGAGCAGCAGGCAGAACAAGCCCTCGCTATGTCCTGGCAGCTGCTCCCATCTGCTGGGACACAATCCATCGAATCCTCCAAAAGTATGGGGTGGGCGGGAGAACTCTGGCTTGGAGCTCTCAGACGGCTGTGGGAACCACGGTTCTGTGCTCCCCTGGTGGTGTGGCTCCAAAGTTTCTCCGTGAAGCATGTGGTCCAGGTTACTGTGGAGACACACGAGGTCACAAGTGGGAGTTGCTCAAACCAGTAAAGGGCTTCACAGATGGCAATGTTGACCACTGTCACAAATGACGACCCTGTGTTGGCAAGGCCCCCCTCCCCTGTCTTCCTTGGACCATCTCCCTTGGGTCTCCAGATGAGGAAACTGAGGCCCTCCACCTCCGTGGGCCTGGGCCCGTGCAGGCTCTAGTGGAAGGGTCCCCGCTGTCCCCTGTGCCGGCCCTGCCCGTGAGTGACCACCTCTCTCCTGTCTCCATCCCAGGGCACAGCGTGGATCCTGGCCTGGCCGGTCTGCTGGGGCAACGGGCACCGCGCTCCAAGCAGCCTTTCCTGGTCACTTTTTTCAGGGCGAACCCCAGTCCCATCCGAGCCCCTCGGGCAGCCAGGCCCCTGAAGAGGAGGCTGCTGAAGAAAACCAATGAGCTGCCGCAGGCAAACAGACTCCCAGGGATTTTTGGTGAGGTCCAGGACGGGCCTTGGGCTGGGCCCCAGAACAGCTCCAAGGGACAAAACCCTCCAGGCCCCCTGTAGGTTCAAGCCTGTGCTCACCCTCTAGCATTTTCCCGACACGCTCCTTTGCCTCATGTGCCCTGAAGTCCAGCTACTGGCCTCCCTGTCCCTGCCACCCAGAAGTGCCTTCTCAGACCTCCCCTGGCTCACCAGGGCTTTTTCCAGAAGTCTTGTCAGCACCAGGTGCCCCTTTCTCCAGGCACTGGTGGCTCTCAGGTCTCCCCTGGGGACCCTGAGGACCCACAGTTGTTTATGTGAAGGTCTCCCCACCAGACCGAGTCCCTCAGGATCGGGGTGGGCCTGCTTTGCCCTCCTGCCCTCCTTTCCTCCACGGGGAGTCAGCCCTTTGGCCTCTATGGAGCCACTCAACCCGGTTGAATGGGTGTGGCAGGAGTGGTGGGGGTAGGTCAGGAGGTGTCTCTGCAGATGAGGAGCCGCCTGATGGCCCAGGGTCCCCTGCCCTGTGCTTTGGCGCCTCAGGGGCCACAGGTTGGAAGTCAAAGGAGGCTGGGCTCAGTGCAGGGTTACTCCGTAGCTATCAGGAGCCACCTAGAGCCATGGAAGTTTCTTGAGCTGGGTCAGGGCACCAGCAGAGCTGCAGGATGGGCTTTATGACACCACATGCCTTAGTTCCACTTCATTCATTTATTCAACAAATATGCCCAGTGGGGTGTCCCCGCCCTGGGATCCCCCGGGGTTAGCTGCGTGAGCAGGAACCCCAGAAAAGACCTGTGCTTCTGTCCCTGCAGACGATGTTCACAGCGCCCACGGTCGGCAGGTTTGTCGGCGGCATGAGCTCTACGTCAGCTTCCAGGACCTTGGCTGGCTGGTAATTTCTGACTCTCCTCATTCTTCTTAAAGACAGTCCCCACCCCAAGATCCTAAGTGTAGCTCCAGGAGGAGGTAGAATTATGGGTAATTTTCATTTTCTCATGCATTATGTTCTTCTGTGTTTTTTAGAAGGGAAAATGTCTTACTTTTATCGTGAGAGGTGCTTTTTGGTAAAAACCATGAAAAGAGGGATAGTTTGAATCCTCAGCTCTAACAGGTCAGATCTGCAACAGGGAAACAGAGGCCATGGTGGGCAGTGCGCCTGCGCACCTGCTGGGACTGCAGCTCTAGGAGGCGTGGGCGGTGGGGGCAGGCGGGAAGGACAAGGTCCGGGCTGACTACACATGAAGGGGACAGAGCTGTGCCCAGCCTCACCTGCTGAGAGTCTCCTGGTAGTGTCCAGCCTCTTAGGGGAGGCTGTCTTCGGGACCCTGCTGTTGGCTGACTGGCCTGGGGCTGGGGGATGGGTTTGGGGCAGCCCCAAGCTGTCCTGTGCCGGGTGCTAGAGTCAGGAGCTCAGGAGAGGGCATCTGGATGGAACTCACCTTCTCCCCTTACACCCCCAGGACTGGGTCATTGCCCCCCAAGGCTACTCGGCCTATTACTGTGAGGGGGAGTGCTTGTTCCCGCTGGATTCGTGCATGAACGCAACCAACCACGCCATCCTGCAGTCCCTGGTCAGTACTGCGTCTGTCTGGTCCGGCTCCCGGGGAGGGGGGTTGGCACAGCCGGGTGAATGGAAGCCTCTGCCAGGGGGTCAGGGGGTTCTCTCTGCCCAGAACCTTCCCTGCACACATGAGCAATGACGGCCCGCGCCTAGAGGGAAACGGGTGCCTGTATGGCCGTGCTGGCCGTGTAGACGCCTATGCACCTCAACCTGCATATACCCGACTTACCCTGACTGCTCGTGCACACCAACCTCTGTGCACTGCACACACGTGTGGGGACTCCACAGACAGTATGTGGGTACCCAGATTTACAAGACATGCTTGCTCATGGTCAGACACACGGCACCTGCGTAACAGACGTGCATCCCTCCTGGGGCCCATGTGCTCTGAACACACACATCACCGTGTGCACGAGCGTGCTCACCCCGGGACACAGGTGTATGTGGGGTGAGTGATGTGCATGTGCGCTCAGCCACCTGCTGCATGTGTGTGCAGGGAGGGGCGCAGGTGTGCCTCGCTGAGCTGCTGGGCTCCGGCCTCCCCTGTTCATCGCCCCGAAGGCACTTTTTCCCTTTGTGCTTTCCACAGACGATATGGCTTTGGGTGCTGTGGCCGGGGTACCTTCACAAGCTGAAAAATCTATTGAAATGATTATATGGTTTTATCCCTTTCTCTTATTGATGTATCAGATTGACTGCTTTGTGAATATTGAACAACCGTCACATCCAGGGAGTAGATTCCACTCAATCATCGTGAATGATTTTTTTAATGTATTGTTGGACTTAGGGTGCTAATATTTTGTTGAGGATTTTGCATCTATGTTCATCAGCAATATTGGCCTATAGTTCTCTTTACTCGTGGTGTCTTTTTCTGGTTTTGGGATCCGGGTAATGTTGGCCTTGTAGAATGAATTTGGATGTTTTCCTTCTACTCTTCTTTTTGGGACAGTTTGAGAATAGGTGTAATCCCTTTCTAAATTTTTGGTAGAATTCACCAGTGAAGCCATCTGGTCTTGGACTTTTGTTTCTTGGGTGTTTTGTGATTACTGATTCAATTTCATTGCTGGTAATTGCTCTGTTCAACTTTTCTATTTCTTCCTGCTTCAGTTTTCATAGTTTGTATGTTTCTAGGAATTTATTCATTTCTTATAGGCTGTCCAATTTGTTGGCATATAACTTTCATAATATCCTTTTATGATCTTTTACATTTCGTGGTGTTATTACTCCTCTTTCACTTCTGTTTTGAGTCTGCTCCCTCTTTTTTTTTTTTTTTTTGAGTCTGGCTAAATGTTTATTAATTTTATTGATCTTTTCAAAGAACTAGTTCCTGGTTTCCTTGACCTGATCTATTGTTTTGTTTTGTTAAGTAAGTAATCTCTGCACCCAAAATGGGGTTCAAACTCACAGACCCAAGATCAAGAGTCACATGCTCCACCAACTGTGCCAGCCAGGTGCCCTGGTCTTTTTCAATTCTATTTTGTTTACTTCTGCTGTAGTCCTTATTATTTCTTTCCTTCTGCTGGTTTTGTTTGTTCTTTCCTTAACTCCTTTAGGTGTAAGATTAGGTTATTTGAGATTTTTGTTTGTTTTTTGAGGTAGGACTATATTGCTATAAATTTCCCTCTTAAGACAGATTTTGCTGCATCCCAAAGATCTGGGACAATTGTGCTTTCATTTTTCATTTGTTTCCATGTATTTCTTAAATTTCCTCTTCAATTTGTTGGTTGACACATTCATTATTTGATAGCATGTTATTTAACCGCCATGTATTTGAGCTCCTTCCAGACTCTCTTGGGATGGGTTTCTAGTTTCATAGTGTTATGGTTAGAAGATACCTGGTATGACTTCAATCTTTTGTAATTTGTTGAGACTACTTTTGTGGCCTAATGTTATCTACTCTGGAAAATGTTCCCTATGTACTTGTAAAGAATGTGTATGAATGCAATGTTCTGAATAGATGTTAAAACCAACTGGTCAAATGTGTCATTCAAAGAACGTTTTCTTGTTCACTTTGTTTAGATGATCTATCCATTAATGTGACTGGGGTGTTAAAGTCCCTGATATTACTGTATTATCAGTTACTTCATGTTTGTTATTTACTGCTTTATGTATTCGAGTGCTCCCATGTTGGGTGTATAAATATTTATAATTGTTATATCTTCCTTTTTAAAGATTTTATTTTATTTATTAGAGAGGGAGCATGAGTAGGGAAGGGGGCAGAGGAAGGAGATTCCCCACTGAGCAGGGAGCCCCATGCGGGGCTCAATCCCGGATCCCTGGAATCATGACCTGAGCTGAAGGTAGAGGCTTAACTGACCAAGCCACCCAGGTGCCCCCCCCCCCGCTTTTAACAATTGTTATATCTTGTTGGATTGTTCCATTTATGATTATATAGTGTCATCCTTTATTTATTTTTTTTTAAAGATTTTATTTATTTATTTGACAGAGATCACAAGTAGGCAGAGAGGCAGGCAGAGAGAGAGGAAGGGAGGCAGGCTCCCCACTGAGCAGAGAGCCTGATGTGGGACTCCATTCAGGACCCTGGGATCACGACCCCAGCCAAAGGCAGAGGCCTTAGCCCACTGAGCCACCAAGGCGCCCCACAGCCTTTCTTTTAAAGTCTATTTTGTTGCATATGAGTATTGGTGTCCTGGCTTTGTTTTCGTGTCTGTTTGCATGACTGCTTCTCCATCCCTTTACTTTCAGTCTGTGTCTTTAGACAGCAGGTGTCTGTAGATCTGAAATGAGTCTCTTATGTAGGCAGCATACAGATGGGTTTGGTTTGATTTTGCATCAATTCCATCACCCAGTCTTTTGATTGGAGCACTTAGTCCATTTACATTCAAAGTAATTACTGATGGGGATGTATGTATTACCATTTTGTTACTTCTGTTTCGGTTGTTTTTGTAGTTCTTCTCTGCTCCTTTCTTCCTTTGCTCTCTTATGACTAGTTGGCTTTTTTTAGTGACATATTTGGATACCTTTTCCTTTAATTTTTGCACATCTGTTACTGGGTTTTGATTTGCGGTTATCATTAGGTTTGTACATAACATTTTCTGCATAGAGCAGTCTATATTAAATTGATGGTTGTTTAAGATGAGCCCATTCTTTACAACCCCCCACCCTCGTCATTTAGGTATATGTTGTCCTGCTTTACATCCTTTTATTTTCTGAGTCCCTTGACTGATTTTTATAAACATACTTATTTTTACTGCTTTTGTGCTGCTTTTCTTAATTTTAGAGTCTTTTCTGTCCACTCAAAAAGTCTTAACACTTCTTATAGGGCTGGCTTAGTGCTCATGAATTACTTTAACTTTTGTTTTCTGGGAAGCTCTTTATCTGTCCTTCTATTTGGAATGGTAGCTTTGCCGGACAGAATATTATTCCTGGCTGCAGAATTTTTCCTTTCAACACTTCAAAGAGATCATGGCACTCCTTTCTGGCTTGCGATGTTTCTGCTGAAAACTCAGCTGATAACCTTATAGGGTTTCCCTTGTATGTGACTGTTTTTCTCTTTCTCTTTCTCTCTTGTTGCTTTAAAAAATTCTCCTTATCACTGCTTTTTGCCATTTTAATTACTATGTGTCTTGGTATAGCCCTCCTTGGGTTGATTTTGTTCGGGGATTCTCAGTACCTCCTGAATCTGGATTTGTTTCTTCCTTCCACTTCTTCAGCTGTTATTTCCTCAAATAAATATTCTGCCTCCTTTTCTCTCCTCGTTCTGGGATCCCTATAATGCAGATGTTATATGCTTGATGGTGTTGCTGAGTTCCCAAAGTCCACTCTCATTTTGCGTATTTGTCCCCTCATCTAGTGAACATGATTACTTTCCATTACGCTGTGCTCCAGGTCCCTGAGTCATTCTCTGAGCCTTCTGGCCTACTATTTATTCTATCTGGCGTGTGTGTTTTAAAAGTCATTTGTTGTGTCCCTCATCTCTGATTGGTCCTCTTTTATCTCTTTGTTAGGAGTCTCACTGATACTCTCTACTCTTTGCAAGTACGGGATCATTTTGATCACTATTTTAAATTCTCTATCAGGTATATCATTTACCTGTTTTCCTTAGGTCTCTTGCTTTGGTTTTGTCCTATTCTTTCATTTGGAATGTTTATCTCCTTATTTTGTCTAACTTTCTGTGTCTGTTTCTCTGTGTTAGGAAGGTCAGCTATGTCTCCTGCTCTTACAAGTAGTGGCCTTCTGAAGAAGAGGTCCCGTAGTGTCCTATAACAGTGTCCCCTGTTCACTGGAACCTGATGCCTCACAGGGTGTCTCCTATATGTGTTGCATACAGCCTGCTGTTGTGGCTGAGCCGCTTTTTCTTTCAGTCCGGTTGTCCGTGATGGCTCTCTCTGCCTGTTGTGGGTAGTGTTTGGTCCCTGTGGCGGTGGAGGGCCAGTCTGGGGCCACAGCAGGCTTGAGTGGAGTCACACCAGGCATTTGTGAAATGCAGCAGCACCAAACCGCAGGGTGTTTTCCTGTGTTGTCCCCTGAGCAGCTTTTGTTGGTGTGTGGGGCCTATAATAAGACCCCCTGTCTGTCCCCAGTCACCTGCTGGGGCACAGCCTGACTGGTGCGTGTAGTCATCTTTCCCTGGGGCAGGAGTCTCTGAGGGTCCTGTGGGGCTGTGTGCACACCACCGTGCTTACGTGCTTGAATGGGCTCCAGCAAGACTCTACTGGAGAGGGTGGGTTGGCCACACTCATGGGGGGTGGGCTACACAGTGTTTGCTGGGGGGGGGGGGTTGTGCTGGTGCTCTGCAGGAAGCGAGGCCAGCCAAAGCTCGGGGGGCTGGTGGGAGCAAGGTTTGTGCAACCGCCCTCTCTCTGCAGGAGGGGACCCGCAGTGCTGGAACTGAGGTGGGCATGGCTGCAGGGGCGGGGTGGCAACGTAGGTGGGGGTATTGTGGGGCTCCCACAGGCTGTGTATTTATGCTGGGGGACGGGAGGGAAATGGTGCCTGTCCACTCCTTTGTTCCCAAAGGAGTCTACCAACATCTCTGTGCCTGGGGTCACACTCAGGGGTAAACAGCTCTCCCTCCCCTATGGTCCAAGGTTTCTTCCAGCTGCTGCTTCTGTGTTGGATCTCTGTGGGCCATCTGTCCCACTGTCTCCGTAGGTGGGGACTCCGTTTCCTCCGGCCTTCCCAGAACCAGGCTGCTAATTTTTCAAATTCCAGGATTCAAGTCCTGATGGTTTTAAGAACTCATGAAATTCAACTCCTCTGGTTTCCAAAGCCCAATGTTATAGGGATTTGCCTTCCCCACACAGCTCCTTATTAGTGTTTCTGTCCCCTCTCTCAGACAGCTGCAGGCCTGGGGAGCTTCCTGCCGTGCTTCTGCCCTTCCTGCTCTCTTCCATGTGGCCTCTTCTCTGCCTCTGGTTGCGGAGTTTGTTCTGGTCCTTTGGTCATTTTCTGCCTTACTTACAGGGATGTGTCATCTAGCTGTATGTGCAGGACGGGGTGAGCTCAGGGTCCTCCCACTCTGCCATCTTCTACCAACTCTGCCATTCCTAAGTGCTTTAAGAGTTCTTGATTCTGGGGTTGAGATTTCTTTCTAGAATGTTTACCTAGAATCCCAGTTCCTGGTATCCCCGAGCCTATTTGTCTAGTAAGAGGTGGTTGAAGGTGAGGCCCCCAGAGGAGAGAAGCTGTGCTTCACTGACCGGGGCTTCGGCTCTGCAGTTGCCCTGCCTTCCTCGCGTCAAGTGGGATGGATGTGCCGCCCCCAGCCCCCAGAAGCCACTTTCCGGGAGGAGCTCAGGGGTGATGAGACCTGTGAGTCCCCGGGCTGTCCTTGATGCACGTGCTTCATGCTCCTCCCGGCTCCTGGGCGCCTGCAGCTCCCAAGTCAGGATGGCTAGGTGGGCTCGGGCTGCAGGAAGGTGTTGGGTGGCCAGGAAGGTGACGCTGGAAGTGGTCAGAGGCCGACTCACAGGGCCTTGGGGTCCCACTTAAGGTGCCAGGTGGGTGGACTTAATCCTACGTAAACTGAGAAGCTGGTGCAGGGGGTTAGCAGTGTAGTCCCCCGAGCTGACTGACTCTAGCAGCGCTGCTCCGGCTGCAGTGTGCACGTGGGCGGGTCAAGGGCGGGGCAGGCGGGGAGCGGCTCGGGGCCCCTGTGGTCCCCTGACAAGGGGTGGGGCAGGGCCGCTGTTCAGAGTAGGTTGGGGTGGGGTGGGGGTGAACCCTGGGGTCTGCAGGTGAATCCAGGAATAGGAGGCCTTGTCTGGGGACAGAGTTGTTGTTGGAGTGGAGGGCCTGCTTTGTTGTGCTTTCCCGTGGGTCCTGTTTGTCTACTGGCATGTTTCCCGTCTCCCTAGCCCATCCCACCACTGCTCAGGAGAACTGTTTTTAGGAGGCCTGAGGCCACTCCCTCAGGCAGGCTCTTTGCTGGCAGTCAGGCTGTTAGGAGGGTCACAAGTCCCCACACCTGGTCCCCGTCCTGCCGCTGGGAGCCACGTGACTCGGCACCACGCGCGGCCTCCACACGCTCGGTCTCCGTCTGCCCAGAACAGAGCTGCCTTGGAGATCATTGTCAGGGCTGGGACGTGCTTTGAGGAGTAAGAGCGCTGGACACTCCGGGGGTGGACCGAGGATTCTGGGCTTTGTTTGGCTCTGGGAACGTTCACTGGCCCACATTTGGGAGGGGAGACAGATGGCAAACAGCTAATGGGGACAAGAGATAATGCAGACACATCATGAAAGCACAGAGAGAGGAGCAGAGGGGTCCCCGGAGGGCTCCTGGGCACACCATGTGCTGGGGTGTCCTGTCTGAAGGGAGTGGGTGGGCCCTAAGGGCAGCGGGCCAGGGCAGGGGTGCAGGGGCACAGGGTGGGGTGGGTCCCCGCATGAGCACCTGCCTGCACTGCAGGCAGAGGACGGAGCAGGGGAGGGTGAGTGGCCAGAGACTCTGGGGCCTGCGAGGGCGGGGGTGCCGGGGCAGGGCCGCCATGTTCACGCCTGCCTGCCCCCCGCTCCGGCCAGGTGCACCTGATGAAGCCAGATGCAGTCCCCAAGGCGTGCTGCGCCCCCACCAAGCTGAGCGCCACCTCCGTGCTCTACTACGACAGCAGCAACAATGTCATCCTGCGCAAGCACCGCAACATGGTGGTCCGGGCCTGCGGCTGCCACTGAGGCCAGTGCCTGCCACGGGGGGCCCCCACCCAGGACAGGCCCCTCTCCAGAGCCAGGAAACCCTCTAGGACTATCACTGCTCAGGTGGGGTGGCAGGGAGGGCCCGCCGCACTCCTGCCACAGCCTGCCAGGGTCTCCCCAGACCCCTCTGCCCCTTCCCCTGGGCTTTATGGCAGATGGGCCGGCGCGGCTCTGACAGGCCTGATGCACTCAGCAGCCCCAGACACACAGACCACACTGGGTTCCAGTTGGAAGTCCTGCCTTAGGACACATGCTGGGCCACCCCAGCCCAGACTGGCTGGCCCAGGCCCATCTGAGGGGCATCTGGAGTGTGAGGCTGGCTGGCTGGGCTCTGAGCAGGGTGGGGGTGTCTTCCCCTTTCCAGGCAGCACACTGGGCATTTCCAGAGCACGCACTCGCCTTCAGGACCGTGTATTACTGGGCTCCGAACTTGGCCCACTAGCAGTTAGCACATTAGAAACAGAACAAGCCGGATGGGCCTCGTACTAAGACAGAAGCCAAGAGGGATGATTTATGGCGTGTCTTCCCCTTCTGGGGGGAAGAGGTGACCACCGCCCGCAGACGTGGATAACCTTGGGGGCGTCCAGGTCCCTCCACTTTTTCCATGTGAGGCTCTGCACTAAGACAAAGTTAGCTCTCAAGAAGTGACGACAGTGGCCGCAGTGGGAGGTCCAGGCTGGGAGACCGTGGCGCTTAGGCCCCTGCTCCCCAGCTCCTCACCCACGGCCAACGTCAGTAAGCAGCCCGGGTGGATTTTCCAGTGACCTGGACTGGCCTCAGAACCCTCGGCACAGAACTCCGGACACCCAGCAGCTTGAGCTCGGGTCCCCCTTCTGCCACACTAAGGAGCAACCATTTCACCCACAGATGGTACCTGGGCCACCGCAGGCCGGGCCCGGGGCCAGGGTGGGAACTGTCTGGTAGAATCCAGGGCTTAAGAACAGGCTGTTCACCAGTCTGCACCACCCGTGCACCCAGGAGTGCCTTCTTATTTCTCGAGACCTGTGAGCCAAAGAAAAGGCCCCTGTCCCAGGGGAGTGACAGGTGGTAATGCGGCTGGCCCCGGGTGGGGAGGTTCCCGGAAACCACTGTTCTCCTCAGAGCAGCCGCCACAGGCAGCTGGGCTGTTTATTTGATTTCTGACTTGCTAAGCCTGTAATTTACCTGCTGGCGCAGAGAGAGCCCAGCTGCCCGAACCCTAAAATACCGTGTCATCAAAAGCAGCTCGTGGGCCCGCCCCACCCCACAGACAGAGCCCAGCCGAGGTGGAGGCCCCCATGTGCCCAAGGATGAGTCCCTCAGGAGTTGCTCCGCACCCCAAGGAGGGGCCTGGGCCAGCAGGTGTGGACGCTGGGGCCTGCTGCAGGACAGTGGCCCCTCCACAGGGACGGGGAGGGGAGTCTGGAGCGAGCGCAGAGGGAGACCCTCCCTCTGTACACCGAGGGTGCACCCAGACTATCTGCGAGGTGGACAGTTCCCTAGTAGCAGGGGGCTTTGACCTCAGGCTGGCAGGGATTGGAGCACAAAGTGGCTGGAGTGTCAGGAGACCCATATTCTGGTTCCAACTCAGCCACTGACCTGTTTGCTATCCGGACAAGGCCCCTTCCAGATTCAAGCTTCAGTTTCTCTTCTGTGACATGGGGACACAGGACTCCTTCCTCAGCCTGAAACCCTGACCTTCCCTTCTCTTCCACGGCCCAGACATAGCTTGAGTCTAGCTGCCACAGGACGTGAAACCTGCCATCTGGGGACCTTAGTTAATGGCTCTCTCCTCCCAACATCAAGGGGAGTAGAGATTTGGAGACTTTGGACAAATGTCAGTATTTGGTCTCTTCAGCGCCTAGCACATAACCTGGCATGCTCTGGAAAGCTTATAAAATGAATGCTTTAAAGGTGCAGACTGCCTTGGCCACTGGGTATGCCGAGCAGGCACATCAGTACCATGATCTGAGTCCCTTTCTGTACAATCAAGCCAAAAGTAGACTGGTCATGGCCTTTCTGACAGACTTCTAGAACCTCCAGCCATCCAGGCAGCCACCAAATGGAAACCAAACAAAAAAGGCGTCAGAGAACAATGGACGCAAAGTCAGTAAAGGGACAGCCATCTTGTTTACATGGTTGCCCCGGCAGCCCAGGCTTCCTTCAAGGCTGCACATTAGAAGCCTAAGGCTGGTTAGCTCAGACCCACTGACAGCAAAGGAATGCTTCCAGGAAGAAAGGCCAGAGGAATAGCCAAGTTTGGAGCCCTTAGTGTGTGTGTTGGGGGGAACGCTGCTCTGTGTACCTCCCCCCGCCCCAGTGCATCTCCAGCATCACAGCACGGCCCTGGCCAGATGCCAGCCCATCAGGCAAAGCCCTGTTCTTGGGTCTCTCTGAAGGGACATGGGTAACATGCTTCAAGAAATGCCCAGAACTGCACAGGAAAGGGGGCTGTGAATAAGGCAGGGTGGGTTTTGGAGCCAGGAGACCTGGCATGGAATCCTGGCTCTGCCTCTTGTTAAACTGACCAAATTCTGTAATGTCTGAGGTAGAGGATTTTTCCCTCTGAATGGGGTATCGGTTCTGCCCTTGCAAGGCCATCAGGGGCAGATCAGGTGGGATCTGGTACGTCCACGAAAGCACTCGGCACGGCGTCTGCATGGTGCCCAGTGACCAGCATCTGCCAGAGGTCTTAGTTTGAATGAATGTGTGTATCTGGGCCTCCCCTACTGGCCTTGCTGTTAACACCTGCTCCTCCCAGAATATGTCCAGGAGATGCTGTGTTCACTTTAAAGCTGCACTTTTCCTAAAAAATCTAAATGTGGTCCTATCTCAGGAAGAGGTAGGGACTCGCACAGTCCCCTGCCTGCGGAAGTCCCAGCCTGCAGGGACAAACAGGGACTCACAGTGAGCCATGCGGCTCGGCACCTCTGCTGAGGACACGGCTGTTGTGTCCCCACCCCCTCCTGACATCCAGCAACCACCTGCGACCTCCAGGAAGCTGAAGCGGGGGTGTTCTGGAATTTCTCTTCTTACTGGGAAGCCTTGAGCAAGCACTTGGTTCTTTAAAAAAATTTTTTTTTCCTCGCTGAAGAAAATATTATGTGTGCACCAGGGAAATTTTTGAAAATAAAAAGCAGAATACAAATACACATAATCCCAGCACACAGAGCTAAGCATTGTTAAAATCCCTTCCAGTCTTTTTCCTCGACACACACATGTCTGTCTTTATATAGAATATATGGATATTTTGCAAAGTTAGGATCATATTCTATGCACTACTTGATCTGATTTACTCAATCTATGATATATTTAGAAAATTTGTTATTAAATCTTCTTTGAAAACATAACTTGCAGCATCCTAGCCCTTGACCTCTACCCCAGTTCTGTCACCATTCTTTCCCTGGAGGCAGGTGTGGGGCACCCACGACCCTGCTCTCGGGAGCCCTGGCCCCGGCCCAGCCGGGTGCTCAGGTCACCAGCCAGGAACCGCGGGACCCTGCATCTCACCGCCTGCGGGGGGCGGTTACGGGTGGACCCCTGTGGTGGGGAGGCCCTCGCACAACACAGAGAGTGCGGCTGCCACCCTGTGGTTCCCGGTCCGCCAGCTTCCTAGACAGGCTGTCCCTGCTGGTCCTGCCTTCCCAGGGCAACCAGGGAAGCAAAGTAAGGGACCCGGCCCTCCCACTTCCCAGGTTCACAGGGTTGTGACGGGTTCTCCTTCCTGGGGCTTCAGGCCAGCCTGCTCCCCTTCCCCACATGCCCTCTGAGAGCCAGCCTTGATGAGGACTTGGCAGACCTCTCTCCTCTCGCAGGCGTCACACCAGCCCCGAGCAGCTGCCATTATCCTGGCCTCACCACTGCCTGTCCTGACAGCCGTGACTGAGCAGCGGTGAGAGGGGGCCCTGGGTTAGGTCCCTGCGGAATCCTGCAGGCCGAGATCCCAGCCACAGGGGTGGGCCCCAGCCCACCCAAAAGCAGAGGCCAAGGTTGGCCTAGGACGCCCGAGACGGGGCTGGCAGCACCCCTCCCCCACAGGAGCTGGCCTGGGGTCACAAGCCAGCGGGCTTCTCTCCTCCCTTCCAGGCTCAACCTTTTAACCCAAAATGAGAGCGAGCCCTGCCCAGCGGTTCCTGAGCGTCGAGCCTTATCTAGAGCCCCTGGCCGGCAGCAGGGGAGCGGGCGGCAGCCCTGGACATTGTTTCTGGTGACCGATGGGACATGCCGGGAGGTGGCCCGGCTGCCAAACACTGGTGTAGGCAGCGTGGTGTGCCATGCTACAAGCTGTGGCACCAGACTTCGATTTCCACTGGTTCTGGGGTCCGGGGGTGGGAAGCATCTCTGGCTGACTCCCCAGCACCAAGCACACGGCTGGCAGGAGGCCTCCGGGCCTTCTCAGTGCGACAGTGCCGACCATCGGGTCAGTGACTAAACGGGTGGCCTGGTGCCCATCACACTCACAGCCACGTGTGAGGGCGCCAGTGGAGCCTAGCTCAGCTACCTTGCTGGCCCAGGAGCAGGGGACAGGAGGACCGAGGCCCTCGTGCACCAGCTCTGACCTCGGCTGCCTGCGGGGGTCGGACAAAGGTGGGAGACGGCAGGGGAGGGTCCCTGGCCTGTCCCAGGAAGATGGTCCAGTCACAGCTACAACCTCTGCAAACTCCTGGGACCTGGCTGGCGGGCAGCGGCACAAAAGCTAGGACTTATGTTATGGGAAGCGACGCCCTCAGAGGGGTGTGCGTGCACACTGCTGACAGCCCCTCGAGCAGGCAGCTCAGAATCTAGGACAACACCATGTGGATCCCTTAGTTTTTTGCAAAATGGACAGTCAAGGAAATGGTGAGCAGAGCGGCTCAAATCATTTTAGATTGGTTTTTGCTTTCATTTCTGCTTTGTAACCCCGGTGTAGCTCACAGTCTAGCCACTCAAAAGGTAACTGTGGATTCGTCTCAGGAACGCAAAACTGGTTTAACATCCAAAAAGCAATACAATACAGCACCTTAACAGAATAAAGTACAAAAGACACAATCCTCTCCATAGACACGGAAAAGGCACGTTATAAAACCAACACCTTCTCATGATAAACACTCAACAAACAAGGAATACAAGGGAACTTCCTCAGTCCGATAAAGAGCACCTACAGAAAACCCCCACATGGTGAAGACCAGGTATTTCTCCCCTTAAAGGCAGGGATAAGACCAAGATGTCTGCCCTCACCACTTCCATTCAACATTGTACTAAAGGTTCTAGTCAGGGGAAATGGCAACAAAATGAAGTGAAATTTGCAGAGGACATGATCTGGTATACAAAAAATCCTAAGGAATTCACTAGAAAACTATTAGGACTAATAAATTCAGCAAGGTTGCAGAATACGAGATCAATATACAAAAATCAATTTCTACACTCTAGCAATGAACAATCTGAAAATGAAATCAAGAAAACAGTTCCAGGGGTGCCTGGGTGGCTCAGTCAGTTAAGCATCTGCCTTTGGCTCAGATCATGGTTCCAGGGTGCTAAGATTGAGCCCCATGTCGGGATTCCTACTCAGCGGGGAGCCTCCTTCTCCCTCTCTGCCTGTCACTCTCCCTGCTTGTGTTATCTCACTCTCTGTCAAATAAATAAATAAAATCTTTAAAAAAAGAAATAACTCCATTTCCAATAACAGCAAAAAAATAAAAAAACTTAGGAATAAATTCAACACCCTTGCTTCTGCCCTCTGCTGGCCCCGCAAAATGTCTGGGTCCCTGACCTTGCGAGATCCCTGCCTCCTTCTCCACATTCCTTGTCCCTTGTAGGCCAAGCGTAGGCTGGCTTTGCCCAATAAAGAGGTTTCCTGAAAAAAAAAAAACAGAAGAAAACAAAAGAAAAAGTGTAGGCTTATACTCTGATAACTATAAAATATTACTGAAAGAGGTGAAAGGAGACCTAAACAAATGGAAAGACCCCCATGTATGGACTGGAAAACTTAATACTGTTAAGATGGCAACACTTTCCAAACTGATCTATAGATGCAGTGCAACCTCTATCAAAATCCCAGCTGGGTTTTTTTGCAGAAATTGACAAGTTATTCCCAAAATTCATGTGGAAATGCTAGAGACCTAGAATAGGCAAAACAATCTGAAAAAAAGAACAAAATCGTGGAGGACTCACACTTGCCAAATTCAAAATGTACTATGGAGCTGGAGGATACATGACAGCATGGGACTGGCATAGGACAGATCTAGAGATCAACGAGACAGAATAGAAAGGCCAGAAATAAAACCCAGGGATGGTTTTATTGGCATCAACAGGGATGCCAAGACATTTAAACAGGAAAAGAACAGCCTTTTCAACAGATGATGCTGCAACAACTGGGCATCCACATGCAAAAGAAGGAAATGAGACCTCTTTTCTCACACTATGACACAAAAATTAACTCAAAATGGATCAAAGCCCTAAATGTAAGAGCTAAGCCATAAAACTCTTAAAAGAAAATATAGGAGTAAATCTTCATAATCTTAGGTTAGGCAAAACTTTCTTAAGTTTTTTTTTTTTAAATTTTATTTTTTATAAACATATAATATATTTTTATCCCCAGGGGTACAGGTCTGTGAATCGCCAGGTTTACACACTTCACAGCACTCACCATAGCACATACCCTCCCCAATGTCCATAATCCCACCCCCCCAACCCCCCTCCCCCCATTAACCCTCAGTTTGTTTTGTGAGATTAAGAGTCACTTATGGTTTGTCTCCCTCCCAATCCCATCTTGTTTCAATTACTCTTCTCCTACCCCCTTAACCCACCATGTTGCATCTCCTCTCCCTCATATCAGGGAGATCATATGACAGTTGTCTTTCTCCGATTGACTTATTTCGCTAAGCATGATACCCTCTAGTTCCATCCACGTCGTCGCAAATGGCAAGATTTTATTTCTTTTGATGGCTGCATAGTATTCCATTGTGTATATATACCACATCTTCTTTATCCATTCGTCTGTTGATGGACATCTAGGTTCTTTCCATAGTTTGGCTATTGTAGACATTGCTGCTATAAACATTCGGGTGCACGTGCCCCTTCGGATCACTACGTTTGTATCTCTAGGGTAAATACCTGGCAGTGCAATTGCTGGGTCATAGGGTAGTTCTATTTTCAACATTTTGAGGAACCTCCATGCTGTTTTCCAGAGTGGTTGCACCAGCTTGCATTCCCACCAACAGTGTAGGAGGGTTCCCCTTTCTCCGCATCCTCGCCAGCATCTGTCATTTCCTGACTTGTTAATTTTAGCCATTCTGACTGGTGTGAGGTGGTATCTCATTGTGGTTTTGATTTGTATTTCCCTGATGCCGAGTGATGTGGAGCACTTTTTCATGTGTCTGTTGGCCATCTGGATGTCTCCTTTGCAGAAATGTCTGTTCATGTCCTCTGCCCATTTCTTGATTGGATTATTTGTTCTTTGGGTGTTGAGTTTGCTAAGTTCTTTATAGATTTTGGACACTAGCCCTTTATCTGATATGTCCTTTGCAAATATCTTCTCCCATTCTGTCAGTTGTCTTTTGGTTTTGTTAACTGTTTCCTTTGCTGTGCAAAAGCTTTTGATCTTGATAAAATCCCAATAGTTCATTTTTGCCCTTGCTTCCCTTGCCTTTGGCGATGTTCCTAGGAAGATGTTGCTGCGGCTGAGGTCGAAGAGGTTGCTGCCTGTGTTCTCCTCAAGGATTTTGATGGATTCCTTTCTCACATTGAGATCCTTCATCCATTTTGAGTCTATTTTCGTGTGTGGTGTAAGGAAATGATCCAATTTCATTTTTCTGCATATGGCTGTCCAATTTTCCCAACACCATTTGTTGAAGAGGCTGTCTTTTTTCCATTGGATATTCTTTCCTGCTTTGTCAAAGATTAGTTGACCACAGAGTTGAGGGTCTATTTCTGGGCTCTCTATTCTGTTCCATTGATCTATGTGTCTGTTTTTGTGCCAGTACCATGCTGTCTTGATGATGACAGCTTTGTAATAGAGCTTGAAGTCCGGAATTGTGATGCCACCAACTTTGGCTTTCTTTTTCAATATTGCTTTGGCTATTCGAGGTCTTTTCTGATTCCATATAAATTTTAGGATTATTTGTTCCATTTCTTTGAAAAAAATGGATGGTACTTTGATAGGAATTGCATTAAATGTGTAGATTGCTTTAGGTAGCATAGACATTTTCACAATATTTAGTTCTTCTTTAAATGTTTGGTAGAATTCCCCCGGGAAGCCATCTGGCCCTGGGCTTTTGTTTGTTTGGAGATTTTTGATGACTGTTTCAATCTCCTTACTGGTTATGGGTCTGTTCAGGCTTTCTATTTCTTCCTGGTTCAG